GTGTGTGTGTCTGTGTGTGTGTGTGTGTGTTGTGTGTGTGTGTCTGTGTGTGTGTGTCTGTGTGTGTGTGTCTGTGTGAGTGTGTCTGTGTGTGTGTGTGTCTGTGTGTGTGTGTGTCTGTGTGTGTGTGTGTGTGTGTGTGTGTGTGTGTGTGTGTGTGTGTGTGTGTGTGTCTGTGTGTGTGTGTCTGTGTGTGTGTGTCTGTGTGTGTGTGTCTGTGTGTGTGTGTGTGTGTGTGTGTCTGTGTGTGTGTGTGTGTGTGTGTGTGTCTGTGTGTGTGTCTGTCTGTGTGTGTGTGTGTGTGTGTGTGTGTCTGTGTGTGTGTGTGTCGTGTGTGTGTGTCTGTGTGTGTGTGTGTCTGCTGTGTGTGTGTGTCTGTGTGTGTGTGTCTGTGTGTGTGTGTCTGTGTGTGTGTGTGTGTGTGTGTGTGTGTGTGTGTGTGTGTGTGTGTGTGTGTGTGTGTGTGTGTGTGTGTGTGTGTGTGTGTGTGTGTGTGTGTGTGTGTGTGTGTCTGTGTGTGTCTGTGTGTGTGTGTCTGTGTGTGTGTGTGTGTGTGTGTGTGTGTGTGTGTGTGTGTGTGTGTGTGTGTGTGTGTGTGTGTGTGTCTGTCTGCTGTGTGTGTGTGTGTGTGTCTGTGTGTGTGTGTGTGTCTGTGTGTGTGTGTGTGTGTGTGTGTGTGTGTGTGTGTGTGCCATGCCTACTTTCGCGAAAGTGCGAGCAATATGTTGACAAAGTTTTACCGTTTTTGTATATTAGATCGGTAACAAAAAAAAAATGCGCATTCGCGATGCTAGCGCAAGAACTAAATAATTACATTTGGCGGTTTTCCCCTTTTTTGTCTAGTGCGTGAGACCTTTGCGTGTGCGTGAGAAAAACCTACAGTCAACCAAATCTAAGAAATACATTTTGACAGCTGTCAAACTTATTGCACCACGCATGCCAACTAAAAAATTTGAACGCATAATATTTGATTCTTAAAAAAATCGATATCGATTATTTAGAGGTAATCATTTACAGTTTGGTTTGAATAAATTAAAAACGGATAATTTAAAACACAAAATTTGTCAGTTTCTTCGTATTTGTTGTTACTGCTTATTTCTAGAGGCACAGTTATAAAAACTTAAGATTGAAACTAGATTAAAAATAAATTTATTCAATCACTTTCATTACAACTAGTAGGGATGTCGTTGTTTATATTAATTATTATTTGATTTTCAATAATGCAGTCAAAATTAATGTCTCAAAGTCATCCATAAACATTTTTTGTTTTTTCTACCACTTTTGCCCAGTCATCCTTTGTGACATGGGCACATGCTTCAACGAATTTTTTTATAGCGTTGGGTGACAAACGAGCACACAGTCCACCTGATAGTAAGTGGATGCTATGGCCCATAGACATACATTCATCCTTGATTTAGAATCAAAATGTAAATGCGTTGTCACGCCTGAAGACTAAGATGGAATGCCTCGATTCCAGTAAAAAGGGTCTCCGGTTCTCTACACTCACCATGTGAAACACATTAGAATTACGCTGCTATTTTAAGCTGGTATTCTGTGAGAGCCTGGTCCTGCTTTGGTTGAGCCGACCCATTCGTGCTACTACTATAATATAGATGAAGCGTGACTCTACCACGTACAAAAAGTTATTATAGAAGAAACAGTCCAAAAAGTTAAAGCCGAGTCACAAAATAAAAATACAAACACAAAATTACAAAATTACACACAGTAAGCTCTCGAAACAGAAACAGAGACTTTTTTATTGAATATAGATTATGAATAATACTTATTGAAAGTCACTTTTTTCATTTACCACTGGTTCGCAAAAAAACCTCTGTCCTGAGAAGAACCAGCAACAAACCCAATGGGACTAGTTTAAAAAAATAAGAGCTTACAATCATGCGTGTTACAATTAACAACACAAAACAAAATTAGAAATAGCTTGGTAGCGATCACCCTTCCCAGGGGTTATTATCATCCATAAATTCCTCAATATTAAAATAACCCTTTTTATACAAACTTTGTATATTTTCTGGCATTTTGTTATAAAAGCGTATACATCGCCTCAAAAATGAATCACTGATTCTGTGGAGTCGAGTAACTGGTACCGAAATGGCAGGATATTGATATCATGTAGTGGTTATTTTAGCACAGCCTTGTATATGAGTTTTTTTCCTACAAACATTTACTTTGACAAAGTGAAAAAAAATAAACTTGTTTTATTCATGATTCATGTAATTAAAGGAATTTTGAAAATAAAAATTAAATTAAACATATAATACATTAAAGAAATTAATGATTCGATTACTAGAATATTTTCACCGATTATTTAAATATATTTCCGATTATTCGCATAACAATGAATTTTAATCATTCAAACACTACGGTAATTATACATAGCGACATGTCATTGAAACGACGTCAGGTAAAAAAAGTTAATACTCGTACTAGTTATTTTTTAATATTTTGCTTTGTTTGAAAAATTCAAATTGAAATAAGTGATAAAAAACCATAAACGTTGTAATGAAATATAGATAACTTTATAATTCTTCGGATTTACGTAAAAGGTTATTTTAAATCGTGTGAGTACACTTGTGCAAAGTTATTGCGGAATGATTAATGTGAAACGTCAAAAGGTATTTCTTAGATTTGGATGACTATAAGTACTTACTATTTTAATTCTACATTTTAACGGTTTCTAATCGTAATGCAGAGTAGTAACAACAAAATAAAATATTAATGATGTTTTTCTTAATAAACTTAAAAAAATTTAAGTATCTCCCTTTGCATAACAAAAAAAAAAACACTTAATTCGTTAATAATGATTGTTAATGAGAAATGGCCTAGTCGTGCGAATGGATTAGTCGGCCATTTCTTAACCGATTAATCGGCCAATCGGCCAAAGTAATCGGCCCAACTCTAATGGGTCTAACTATAAACAAACATATTATATATGTTTGTTTATAGTTAGACCCATTAGGTAGCGCTGTTGTAGAATCCAGATATCAATAACTAATTTAACTTAAGATTCATGATATGCACTCCGAAATGAAACGCCACGTTACTTTGTCACCGATTTAATTAATGGCATTAACCGATTAATCGGCTAATCGGCCAAAGTAATCGGCCCAACTCTAATGGGTCTAACTATAAACAAACATATTATATATGTATTCATGGTATACACTCCGAAATGAAACGCCACGTTACTTTGTCACCGATTTAATTACTTGTGAATATGAGGAAAGGTGAACGATATTAAATATAACAAACGAACGAAAAAAGAAAATAATATGTATGGTTAGTATAAAAAGATATTAAATATGTCATATATGACAATTATTTTTCAAGTTAGTTTTATATTTATTACAATCCACATGTATCAACCGTTAGGTTATTCGTTACCTGCTTTTTGAGGGTATAACTGAAGCAACTCCCGCGCGGGATGCTCAACGCATCAACGTGACTCCGCGTGTTTTTTAACCGATTTCAATAAAGGTAGTTTCTTAATTCGACTGTTCGTTTATTCGGTCGCTTATTATCTTTGTCCGTTGTGAACCTAAAAATTTCACCCCTAAGGATGATCAAATAGAGGCTCCTATTCATTATGTTTTAGTATCGACTTCAAAAGCTATTATATTATAAATTATTTTATTCTTTTTAGTTTTTAGAAGTCTACTTTTACATTTTATTAAAACATTTATTCCTGAGAGTAAGATATTCCATTTGAAGCATTAGTATCGCGTAAATTTCGCATCAATGGACGCTATTTGAACTAATTTTAACATGTCCATAGAATTATGCGATTTAATTAAAGATGGACCGAATATTCGTTTCATATTCGGTATTCGGCATATTCGGCAGCTTTAACGACAATTCGTATTCGGCCGAATATTCGCCTAAATCACCGAACATTTGTTAAAGCGGTTTTCAAAGTGTCCACTGTATTGAAAATTTGAAATGTACGAATTGAGTATTGCCATGTTTTTCATTTTCAATTTTACTGTTGAAAGTATATTTTATTTATGGGTTAAGTCTACTTGTATAGCGTTATGTTTTTGAGGCACTGTAAATTCATTTCCAATTATAGCAATAATCTTAAAGAAAAAAGAAACAAAACATAAATTAGTTAACAGAAAAAAAGGCGAAAAGGCCCGCGAAAAAATTTTTGGTCGAATATTCGTATTCGGTGAAATCCATATTAGGCCCATCTCTAGATGTAATGCAATGGATGCGTTCGAATTTTTTCTCGCATCATGCGGGATTCCCTTCAATGTAATCGAACGTTAAATATTATGAAGATGGTCCAAAATTTCGTGTATTGAACACATTTTTTAATTATTATTATAACTCACGAGTGTCACCCAGAGCGAGGCAGAGACTACGGACTTCCATTTGGCACGATCCTGACACACCTCTTTCACCTTTACATTCATATAATTTTTTTTATTTAGTTAAAATGTAATTTTCATAATATAATCAATAACTCACTTCACTCACGTCACTTGCATCGTCTACCATCATACGACTCTCGACTAAAGTTTATTAATGTTCAGCGATTATCTTTAAGGAGTCAATTTACCGACCAAGTTTTTTTGCACAAGATTGTGCATTCTCGTATAGAGTGCCCAAAGTTACCAAGGCTAATTAACTTCAATTCCGACAAGAATAACACTTCCTTTTTCAACCCTGTTGTCAAAATGTGCCGTGATTACGACGAGATTAAGCGTAGTAACGTACATCTAGATATATTCGATAGTAGTCTAGTTAGATTTAAAAGAAATTTACGTGTTTCTCTTAACATTTAATGTATTTGTTATCTGTTTTATTTTTGCTAAGACTATGATTCTACTGCAGTTATATTATTATGCTATGTACACTCTTTTGGATTGTAGTTTAGATCAATACCAATATACTTTTTATTTTAGACCTTTATATAACTACTACTACTGTCTGTTTGTGTACTTTTTTCAATAAAATTAAAAATCAATTAAAATTTTCAGGCGCCACCAACAACGAGCCAAGGAACGAGATCGAAACGAAACAAGGTGGCATCAAGGTGGTGCAGCTGGCTGTTCTGCAGAAACCAACCAACAATGAACACGATGATTCCGATGGTGAGTGTCAATTACACACGATATTTTTGATTAAAATTTAAAACATATAATAGCTTAAAAACTGGCTGTTTAATATGTATAGACGCAAGACACATATAGATTCAAGACTTGTTCTTTTTATAGGTATTAGTGAATCTTTATTACAGCCCGTGCATAGCACTGATTAAAATAATAGCTCATTTTGTTCCAGAAAAACCTGGCAAGCTAGGAATGGAGGACGATGAAGAGACAGACTCCAGTGGCTCCATCTCCGATTCCGCCGCCAATGATTCGCAAGATAGCCGTCCACATGTTTGCGACATCTGTGACTTGAGGTGATTGACAAAATATTACTTCTGTAGTAATTAAGACACTGGTGATGTAGTAGATTGGCAAGCGTAAGCAAATGTTCAAATTATTAGACGACGATTTTTACTTTTCTCCTTTGAACTGTTTAGTATTATTTCAGATAATATGAAGTCTTGATAATTATGGGCTTAAAAAGAAATTCAAAAAAAGGAAATCACTCACAAGTTTCTGGAAAAATCTCTAAAATCTTATGAAATGTTTAAACTAAACAAGGTCATGAGTGGTCATAATGTTACAGACAATTAAGGTCAAGGCAAATTTAAGCGTTTCCATCAAAACACCCTAAAATATTTTTTTTTAACGGAGAACATTTATTAGCATTCCGAGGATTATCTGATAAATTTGACTATCCTATCCTGGTGTATGATGCATGCATACATACATGTATGTTCCTGGTGTTATGGGACATCGAAAAAAAATGTTTTAGTATTAATACTTACAAATTACCTAGGTGAAGCCAGTATTAACATATTTATGAACTGTATGTGAGTCTGTGTAAATTATTATTAATGACAAATTTTCCTATTAAATGTGGTGACTCCAGTAAAACATTTTTAGGTTAATATTTCCAATATGGGCCATCGATTTCAAAGCCCATATTTTTTTTGTGGATAGTACTCACTAAAAGAAAGCGTTTTGCAAAGTTTTAGGTTGCGGAAACTTACGGTTCATGATCATGAACCCCATGGTTTTGGTGATATTCATGGTAAAAATTTATTATATTATTTATTATTATTCTCGTTACCATATGTCTGGTGAAATGGAGGGCGGATATGTGGGAGGGTTAAAATTAACTAGATTAAATAAAGAAAAGGGAGGGGCTTATGGGAGGAGAGGGGGTGTGTGGTTAGTAGCAGGGAAGTGGTGTGGTGGGTTAGTAGCGGGGAAGTGAGATGGGGGGGGGGGTTGAAGGGGAAGTCGCGCTCCGGCGCTGCGGGATGAGCAGTCCCTCCGCCCTAACCTGAGCTCGCCTTCGCAGCTTCGGCTTTTTGGTCGCCTTCGGCGACCAGCCTCAACCGCTACGGCTATCTCGGTGCCTGCACTTCCCTACGGCGGGCGGGTACTGCTCTCCCTCCTTTTTTTTTTTTTTTTTGCGCCCGAAGCAAATATGGGCAACCCTCCGGAAAGCGGGGGAGGGAGGTTGAGAATGCTCATAGCATACCACGCAGCCGGCTGCGTGGTTATGTGGAGACTTTTACCCACTAAACTCAACCTTTTGGGAATTGGCTTAACGATCTGACTAGAGATCTCTAAGCCGTATACGAACGCGACCCTCCTTGGCAGAAAGGAGGGCGCAGTCTCTCCCTCCGCGCCTCCGGGCTCTTATATACACTCTAGGGGTAGGGCAGACAAGATCACGTGGATAGTGGGGTGCTCTAATTCGATTTTGGGTACTTTTTGGATATTAAATATGTAAGTAAACACTTTATTGTAGTAAGAATTAGATAATACAGCAAGTTGCAAACAATAAAATACAAGTACAAAAGCTGTACTAATTAAGAAATACAAACAAGTTGCAAACAATGAAATACAAGTACTAAGGTGGAACTTAAATAAACTTTATTCTAATGATTTCTTAAATTTACGCGAACACTACACATTGAATAAAACTATTATTTACGGATTTTTTCGCGTTTAATTACTTTAATTTATTTTTATTATTATCCCGACGTTTCGGGTGCTTTACAGCGCCCATGGTCACGGAGGGGACTGAGATGTTTGACGTCCCAATGTCATAGTTAGTCCGGCTACCTTCAGTTTTTTAATATTAATTTTTGGTCCCATTTACGCAAAACGAGCTTATAGTATCATGAAGTCTTGCAGTGGTATGCTTGGGTTTGGGTTTAATTTTGTTAATTATAGATAGTACAAAATAACTATGACATTGGGACGTCAAACATCTCAGTCCCCTCCGTGACCATGGGCGCTGTAAAGCACCCGAAACGTCGGGATAATAATAAAAATAAATTAAAGTAATTAAACGCAAAAAAAATCCGTAAATAATAGTTTTATTAAACTTTATTCTACTTTATATACATATATAATTGCACTTATCAGCTCTTCCTATGCATCTAATTTTTCGTCTCCAAAATTAACGAAATGTACTCGATACCAAGTAGTATTGATACTTTTGATACGATACTTGGTACTACTCGATGTAGGTATCGATACTTTCAAAATATTCGGAACCTACACTAATTGACGTTTGACATCAATCATTTGTCAAATTTATTATGTAATTGCGTGTTATTTGCCAATTTGTATGAAAAGTTTAAAAAAATATATCTCATGAACCGTAAGTTTCCGCAACCTAAAACTTTGCAAAACGCTTTCTTTTAGTGAGTACTATCTACAAAAAAAATATGAGCTTTGAAATCGATGGTCCATATTGGAAATATTAGCCTTAGACTAATACCTAAAAAGCTTAATCAGAAAACTGACATGCATAGCTGTGCATTCAGTCTCAGACTTCTCGAACGGTATCTTAACAGCAAATGTCTTTGAGATGACTTAAAAGCTATTGCGCTAAGTTGTGAGCCTTACCTACTTATTTAATTTGATAAAGCTTAAGTGTGCTTGTGGTTAGGTTCCAGCGTTCCTCGCATCTATCTCGTCACCGGCTGACGCACACGGGCGAGCGGCCCTTCACTTGTGGCGGCTGTGGGCGCTCCTTCGCGCGCTCTGATAAACTGCGAGTACACACTAAGATCTGTGAGCGGGTATGTACATGTTTATTTTTAAGCTTACTAATGTTGCCTGCTAATTCAAATTCGCAGTTCTAGAAGGCTTGGTAACAGAAATTTACCTCGTTTGGTATGTTTATTACAGTCTGTGCATTGTAGCTTTTTTGCCTCTTTCTAGGCCAGTGTTTGAATACGGTACCACTTGAACAACAAAACAAAAAAAAAGTTTAACAAAAGCTTGATCCGTTTTGCCTTGAAGGTAGTTACGATATAATTGAACGGAAAGATAGATGGATTACTCCACTTCTTTGTTGTATGCATTATAAATGACAAGTTCTCAAATACTTAAATGCTGTTCAGTTTTAAGATTTAACGACATTTTAAAATTGAGTGCAACAATTTTTTGTTTGAGTGCGTAGTGTCGTTTACTACAGTGATTATGATTTATTTATATTTTTAAGAGGGAGTGACTGACTTTGAATTTTGTTTACATACTTATCGGATTTTTGATATTTCTTAATCGAGTTTTTACATTTGGTAGTCACCAACATATTAAGCGACAGTAGTCTAATGGCTGGGTGCGGACTACCTCAAAGGCCATGGGTTCAAAGCCGCTATTTGACTACTGTCGTGAACAACTAACACAAGATATTTAGCTTATCATGAGTTGGTTAAAGGAAGTATCAGTAATATTGTTTTAAATAATGACTCAACATAGGAGGATCCGACCGTGGACATGACGAACGAGCAGGGCACAATCAAGCGCGAGAACAGCTCGGAGGTGATGTCGGGCATGGTGCGCACGACGCACCGCGAGTCCGGGCACCTTGTGTTCACGGCCAGCGGCGACGTGATGCTGCCGGCCGGCGTGTCCCACGCGCCCGGCGCCGCAGCCGCCACGGCCGCCGCGGCCGCCGCACCGCCGCCGCACCCCGCGCACGCCGCGCACCCTACGCTCGCGCGCGATGACCTGGAGCCGCCGCGCCGGGGCCGTGGCCGCCCGCGCAAGACGCCGCTGCCGCTCACGCCCAAGATCAAGAAGCGCCGCGGACGACCGCCTAAGACGTCGCTCGGTGAGTCGCAAGTAAAATTGCACAACCTATTCTATTTCTTTGGTAATAGTCTCGTAAGGTTGTACTTTTGCCAGTGTTATTCATCAGTCACTACAGCTTCATAAGTTCACTGCTCAACATAGACCTTCCCCCAAGGAATACCACAAAGCACCTGAACCCATTGATTCAGCATGTCTTACCAGGTCGTCACTTCATCCAGTAGAAATCTGCACCACACTTCGCCTACTGGTACGAAGGCGCCTTTCTGCCCCATCGGCTCTCACTCTTTCAAGCTATATGGCCGGCCTATTGCCACTTCAGCTTACTCATCCGTTGGACTATATCGATTAATCCTATATTTTCATAGCCCTTTCGCACCTGAGATTTTTGTTCCTTTGATTTGAAATGAAAACTATAATATTTTGGCAAAGAAGTGTTAATATTAAGGTAAAAAATAGTAAAAAAAATCCAGCGTACACCAGAACTCTGGAAAGTCGATAGCACGATAGTGAGCTCTAGGGCTGACTTCTACCAACTCACGATCGTGCGTTTTTAAGTTTTGATGAGATTTTAATGCATTGATGGTGTCAGCTTACTTCAAAAAATATTTATAATGAAATAAAACGCATCTGGTTATTAGAAAAGACTTATTTAATTATTGTCAACATTACAGTTTAGGTACAAAATTTCAGTCTTTTGTTTTCATTGTAATAAAAATGCTCTTTCAGAAGACAACTTAGAAATTAAAAGAAAGGAAAGAAAAATATTTTTACGAAATAAACAATGAGATAAACTCATGCTTCTTAGGAAACAAAAACTTAACACAAAAACATAGAAATCAACTCAAAAGCCTTTCTGTCTGTACAAAAATAACATAAAACTTAATACTTTGATAATCTTTTGAAATATCTTTCTAAATCACAGTCTTTACATAGGAAACGTTATTAAGACTAGTTTCTTTGGTGATACAAAAAAAAGCAGTCTTTATCACGACTCAAGCATAAGTAAATATCACATTTACGGCACCTAATTTTAGAGCGAGATGAACAAATCTCTGAGCGACATTTGCGAGGAGCCTTCAAGTCGTCAAAAATAGGAAAGTGTTCGTAACCATCAAACCTCTTTCCCACAGACGGATGATTAGCGGGTTTGTATCTGCCCGAAGTTTGTGCCTGCGTTTCAAGTAATGGGGATGAATCGCGCCGATCTCTGTCAGGAGTGCAGATGTGTGTCTCAGCAACTTCAAATCTGAATGAAAGGAGATCTAATATTCGATTTTTAGGAATGCCTTTAGCCAATGAGTCAGATCTGTAGAGCCGCCACGAATTTACCATTGTTAGGTCTATAAAGTGTAGTATGACCTTGAGAGTCCATTTACGGGTCTTCATGAATGTACGGTAATATTCCATAGATTGGTCCAAAACATCCACCCCGCCCATGAAAGAGTTGTAGGATGTTACAACTTTTGGAGCACCAACATCGCCGTAGCATTTTTCTGTTTTATTGTACCGCTTTACTATGTCGGTTGCCGTGCCCCCAGTACAATTTGATGCTGTCAATACCGCCTTGCTGTCCTTCCATTTTACCAAAACTACGTCGTTTGATACCCTTTGTTCAATTTCTCCTCGTGTCATTTTTTTGTCATCTTTGAACTTAAGCTGCTGTCGATCTGGTACCCGGTTAAGCATAATTGTCCCTGTGCCATGATAGTCCATTTTCGTTAATTCTTCCAACAGGGGAACCGTTGTAAAATATCGGTCAAAAAAAATGCAGCTCCCGCGTGGAACACTTTGACTCAAGCGAAGAACTACAGCCGGTCCAAGCCCCAAAGGATGCGAAAGAGCGCGATTGTTGCCATAATAAATTTCAAAATCCACCATTAGCCCTTCACTAGTAGTAACCACGAAATTCTTAAGACCCACTGGGCGAGGCTTGTTCTTTACAAGCTGACGAAGATGACACTTGCCAGTGAAAGGTATCATTTGTTCGTCGATCGAATACCTGCCCGGGGTCCTTAGAATTTTGTTGCAGCCTTCTCTCACAATGTCGATCATCGGCTGAACCTTCCAGAGAGGATTATTTGCTTCCGAGACGGTTGGAGAGTCGGAATCCACGACGTGCAAACTGTTTCTTAAAGTTGTCAGTCTATCTCTTGTCATTGCAGAAACAATCATGTCAACTTTAATATTTCTTCGCCAGTACATTGCGATCCTGGGATATGATAGTATACCCATCAGTAGATGGATACCAATCAGTTTTTTTATTTCCGGTTTGGTTGTATTTAAAACTCGCCCAGTTTTTCTTAAATAGTATAAGTTTGTACACAATGCCATGCGCTCGTAAAAATTATCATTATAATAATCATTATAATATTCCACCGGCGATCTTATTTCATTTGGTTGTGGATGACCTGAGTAGTTATGTGATTTATCGATGTAATCAGTTTTCTTCCATAACCTTTTACGAGCAGGCAATTTCACTATAACAGCCTTTGATTTTTGTGTTACTTTTGAACAAGGTGTTTGTTTTGACTTTTTAGAACAAGTCAACCTTTAATATTTTCCGATTTCACAGCTGCCGCAGATAAGCGAGGCGGAGAGGATATCTCAACTTCACCTTCTTTATCATTTTCCAGCTGCAGAGGAATAAACTCTTCATCGTCGTCGTCGAAGTCCAACTCGGAACAGTTACCATCATTGAGGATGCCCAAGATGAGGTCATTGTTCAATGGCATGCCTGTAGTTAAAGAAATAAATCGAAAAATAACTTAAAACTGAATGAACTCACGATCATGCGTTGGTACAATTGCAACCCAGATATCACGACAGTGAGCTGACATTTTTGTCGTAAATTAAGTTGGTAATTACTAAAAATATAGAAGAAAGTTATAGTCATTCAGATGAATCATATACTTAATGATGCAATACAATCATAATATCAATGATTTCTTACGAAATTTGCAAGAAAAATAAATATAACTTACGGCGTCCAGTGACGGGGTCAAGAAACGCAGCCATCTTGTCGGTGCGCTCGCGGGTACTGATCGCGCTAGACGCCAAAACCGTTACCTATTGGATAAATTGATGAGCGCACGACCATGCGATGTCGGTTTAACGCGGAGAAACGGATTTGGCGCGAACTTATAATTTTTCAAAGAAGAAACTCACGATCGTTTCATTCGGGTGCGAAAGGGATAGAAGTGATTACCGCCGCCCATGCGCAACTGCAACACCAGGGGAATTACAGATCCGTTGCCGGCCTTTTAAAAAGGAGAAGGCTCTTTTCTTGAAGGTTCCTAAGTCTTATCGGTCCGGAAAAATCTCTGGTGGTAGTCGATTCCACAAGAAAGTTGTGGAAGGAAGAAAACTTCTTTTAAATCACACAGTGGTAGACGCCAGTCACCCAGATGGTATGGATGGTATCGCGAGTTTTGTCGCGATGTGCGATGGTGAAATTGTGTGGATAGAAGTAGTCCGAACACTTCCTCAGAGTACTCCCCGTGTTGGATGCGATAAAATACGCCAAAAGATGCAACATATCTTCGCAGTGCCAGTTAGTTAAGCGATCGGAAAGAGCTCGGTCACCGACGATTCGAACCTCCGCGCTGGGTGCGATCAAAAAGAAGAAAATGGCACTGGGGAGTTCTGGCCCAGACATGGGAACAGTATTCCTTGTGCGGCTGTACCTGCGCCTTGTAATTTTTTTCCGGCATGAAATACTACTATCCCGCTCTGCTGAATACGCCAAGCTTTTTAGAGGCCAATTTAGCCTTCTCTTCCAAGTGACCACGAAACTGCACGTCACTCGATATGTCGACGCCGAGTATTCCGATACTGGCTGAAGCAACAAGGGGAGTGCATTGAAACATAGGAGCTATGCGGCGAAAGGGTTCCTTTTAGTGGTAAACGCGCAAACTTGTGTGTTCTGGGGATTGAACTGGAGTACATTTAGCGCGCCCAGTCCGAGACTTTGTTCACACGACGACTTCACGACTTCAGACACAACTTTGTCCCGGTACACGGCGACGTTTTTCCGAGAAATATTGACACGGCCGGTGTATAAATCATCACCAGTGCTGTCATCTGCATAGCAATGTATGTTACCGGTTTTCAACATGTCATTGATATGCAGAAGAAACAGCTTTGTTGATAGCACGCAGCTTTGTGGAACACCAGCGTTAATGGGCTTGTAATTGAAGTATGCACCGTCTACTATGACCTTGATGCTCCGATCTGTAAGAAAACTGGTGATCCAATTGCACAAAAACTGTGGTTCTACTGCGGATTTCCTCATTCCAGTCGTTATCATCATGCCAGTGCCAAGTAATAAGAAATTACCAATACGTCACATTGAGAATTTTGGAGATTTTGACAGTATCTTTTAAAATACTTATACAGACAAAACAACTTGGGGTTGGTATAGCCATCGGCGCGCCTGTTTCTACACTTCCACGTAATAGTTCACATGCACAGACCAAAAATTGCATCACATTCACTTATCAAAATCCACTTCAAACCATTATAACGATGAAACTGATATCCATTTGGTATGATTAGAAAATTCACCTCTAGCCGAGATTAAATCGTTTACGAAAATGATATCCTATTTCATGTGAAAATAATAATGTACTTATCAGTTATGTGTGCGTAGCGATACGTTTCGCTGATCGTGTGCAATCATAAAAATTATTTTAATGAATTAATCCCGACACTAACTCGATAACTTCTTCCATCCTGTTCAATTATAACAAATTGCGGTTTGGTTACCTCTGAAACTTATACGATTGTTGAAGGCATATATAATTAACAAAGAGCAACACCATAATTTTATTTTTGTTTTATCTGGACTTAATATCACATAATTCTCAGAAAATACCATTTGCAGTATACTTGTAATGACTGTGGAGCAAATAAAAAAAAGAATTTTCATACCAGTTAAATACAAATAAGGTAGTTAAATAAAATTCAATCCTCTATGCTCTGTGCACTGTACTCATTTTGTGAACAGTGAACTGTTTAGATGCCTGTGGTGTTGAGCGGTGAGTCAACCGTCGTGCTGATTGCTAAGCGGACGCGCGAGGGGTGTTACTTAAAAATAGAGAAGGGATTCTAATCAGATCCACCGGAAGAAGCATGCTAGTGATATTGAGTCGCCACTCTTTACTTTGGTTTACAGTACTGTCCTTACCCACCGCTCTTAGTGACTCCGCTAATCTCTGAAGCAAAGTGAATTGGGCTTTAAAGTCAGTAATGGTGTAATGATGTGGTATTTACCTAAATATGTGACTCCAAAGGTTCTAGTTCTACTCAATGTTTTTATGTCTTTTGCAACGGCCACGACATTGTATAATTTTCATATCTTTTTGTTTGTTTCTCTTTTGTTTTTATCTGATTAATTGTAACTTATCCAAATTTCTCAGACATGGAAGGCTGCGTCCTCACAAGTGGAACTGTGATGGGCCCAAGTCCCCAGCACATGTCTCACCTCACTCCCTCGGGTCAGCAGCTGTTGCTTAAACGGAAACGCGGAAGACCGCCGAAGAATTATTTCATGTCGCAAGGAGGTATGTCTATAAGTTATTCTATAATACTTTACCTGTTTTTTTTGTACGCTCTTGACGGCATTTATGGTTATGTAGCATTTGTTTATGGAATAAGTTATTAGTGTTTATAGTTTCTAGCTTGAATCGAACTAAAAGTTAGCTAAAACCTTCTAATTAGATAATAATAGTCATTCAGAGCGATAAACATACAAATAACCTAATTGCAGTGTGTTCTCCGTGTTTGTGAACATTTTCATATAATTTTTTTTTAAATAAATAACCTTTAAATAACGAATATTGTTAGTGAACACAGGTTATGGGATCGTAAAATTCGTAAATATTCACTTTAGCCTAACTGTGACTTAAGAAGAATATATTAATATAAAAGCAAACTTGTACTACATTATTGCTTCAAGAATTTTACCGCTTACTTAAAAATTTGAATAGATTTTCCCTTTTATAATATTTTTTTACATTCTGGAAACTCAATCAACTCTTAATACGGTTCGTCGTTAAAAATACAACTTGTGAAATAAAAATGAAACCTAATATCACAGTATATAGATCTATTTTACTTCGTATAGTTTTTTAAATATGCCTATTAAATTTTGAAGCAGTAATAATAAATGTTGTAATATAAAGGCAATGACTCAAGATGTATGATGATTAATTCCATTGTCAAACATCATACGTTTTGACTACCATTATGTTCTTATTTAATGTTTCAGTGTGAGCGTGCGTGTGTGTCTGTGTGTGGTGTGCAGCTGCAAAGTGCCTTATAGCGATTGCTGCTTGTCCTATATTTCTCTCAGTCGAATCTATTCCCTATATGTTTTTGAACTCAAACTGCAAATAATTAACATTTAAAATTATATATGTATTCATAAAGAATTTATAGGATATTAATACGTCGTGTTTAAAATCGTCGTTATTAAATAAAGATTTTTTATAAAAGGTATTTCAATAGATTTTCTAATATTTGTAAAGCCTGACCAGGAATGTAAGAGGTGCGGTCATATTTCGAAATTTCGTTGGAGCTAATGATTTTTAAACTTACCTGTATCATGTATGTGTCATCGTCGTAAACGTTTCATTTATAGGAAAAGATTAATAACTGTCATAATATATAAAAATATTCTGAACAATGGATATAATAAGTGTTTCCAAGAAAAAGTGCAACTCGAACATATTTCATTAAATACATAATAAAATCCGAACTAACAGGTAAGTAAATTATATATCATTATAGTGAGATTGATACGAATTGGCCTTTGTTCTGTTATACATAATAATTGTTATATTTGTTTTAGGAATATCACGTGCGCATACGCAAATTGTGAAAGAGGAACGATCTAGCTTTTTGTACTTGTTTCGTGATGTTAGTATACAGTTCTAATACTTTGAATCTTATTATACCTCGTATTATTTTAAAATGAAAAATAGACTTCGATAGGTATGTTCTTAATCGCTAACCTTATGACTTAATAAACCTATGCACATAAATATAAATATATACATAAATTAATAATTGTTTCTATCCCAAATTTTTTTAAAAATTAGGAAATAATATTTTTAGAATTTAATTTGATCTAGTTTGTTCTACATTTGAAATAATAAATTTATTTTGATGGCATAACAGGGAAAGGCTTTACAGTAATGGTCAAATGGGTTCTGAAATGTAACGTTTATGTTTGTGTTGTCCTATAGCGTCATGTTGTGCATGCGTATCTGCAACTTAAATTATTACCTTATCGTTTTGTGACGTGTAAATACATAAATATTAAGTTATATGTATTTTATTTATATGCATAAATAATACTAATTCAAGAAACAGTACAGAATACATTGGCTTATTAAAAAAACACCCATGCGCTGTACTATAGTTTTATATAAAAATAATTACAAATAATGTCTCTGCCGGTTCTAACTATAACAACTATACTGAATATTACAACTTTAATGTCTCGTATATCTGGTCAGGCTTTATGTACGCTTGTTGTTATAGCTTCTTCTTCTGTAGCCCGTAAGAGGCCACTACTGAGCATAGTTTTTCCTGTTTTGTAGAGGATTTGCTTTAATCGTCCCGCACTTTAGAGCTATCAAAAATATGCAAGTTAGAAGCATACTAGACAGTAATAGCCTCTACATATATTTTCTTTTCTGTATGATTGTAGATCTATCGCGCCTATAATCAATTTCTATTACATAAAGGGTTAAAATGATCCGCTAAATGCTGACGTATATTTATGTATCACTCAAAATCACTTTTTGTACCTGCATAGTTATAGAATTTCTTGCGATTAACATTTTCCCTGTCTGGTTTTCAGACTAAATAGCAGTGACCTATATGTAGTACACGGTACAGCGAAAGGGTTAAAAGCATTAGATCTTTGTTTCTAAATAAATCTTAACAGAACAACGAGTTAGACAAATATGTACAGTATTACATATTTCATACAACAGCCAGTATTTATCAAGCTCACTATAATATCAAATACGATATATCATATCAGCGATCCAGATCTTTATGTATCAATTTAACTTAATAGCTTTACATATCATGTAACATTTAAATTAATGTAATCGAAAAAAAAAACAAATCCGAATGTATTTACAACGAAGTTTCTATATTTTGGTATTGAAAATACTTTTGTCAATATCCGCAATATAAATTATATTTTCCTGGCCGGGCTTTACACACGCGAACACGACTTTTAAAAAAAAACGGATTATTGTTATTCGATGCGTGCAACAAATTCTGTATATTTTCTGTAAAATTTGTAAATGAAACAAGTTGTGAGTCAGATCCAGCATATGGAGTAATAGTTTCGACGGTACGCGTATTGGCATGACTTGAATTAAAAAGTTTGTTTGAAAATAAATCTCTCCACAATTTTTATTCATTGGGATCGAGTGCAAATCTAAGTCAACGTAGTTATAATTAAATTTTAGACGTACAAACTTTCCGAACCGAGAGCGTGGATTACTTTAGAATATTGCAAAAAGTTTTTTAATCAAAATTTTTACACACTGAGAGATGTTCCAATAACACTAAAATATTTTTAAATTGAAAACATTTAAAATTACATTGATTTTCGATAATCTTATTCATTGTTTGAATTGCATTTCATTAATTTTACAATAAATATTGTAAAATAATATTTATGATAAAATCAATAATCAGGAATTGTTGATGTACAATATATATTAGTAGGTAATATTACGTAGTTGAGCTATACTGCAGCTATTATAGTAGTATAGCTGTAGTACGAATTCGCCGGTGGACCATGCTCTCACAGAAAACTAGTGTAAAATACCAGGTTAATGCTGCTGTGTTTCATATGGCGAGTGTAGAGAACCGGAGACCCTTTTTACTGATTTCCTATTCACGGGTGACAACGCATTTGGATTTGTAATCATGGATAGCTGTAGATATCTATGGGCCACAGCAACCACTTACCTTCAGGTGGACTGTGTGCTCGTTAGTCACCCTTATCCTATAAAAAAATAAAGGGCAGTAGCCTAGTGGCAGGGTGTGAACCCCGAACTTACGAGTAATGGTTGTGGGTTTCACTTGACAAACCACTTCTAACACATACATTAAGCTTACCTGAAGTGCTTAACAGGAATATTACTAATATTTTAATGGCATTGCCACTTAAATAATTTTTTTTAATTTATTTGACTAGGCCACATAGAGAGTATTCGAAACAAATTTTTAACACAGTTATGCCAACACGCGTTTCCTTGCTACGCTAATGAGCGAGTCTGTCCTTAGGTATGGATATGGCAATACCGATGCAGTACGGGCTAGCCGCCGAAATGAGCAAGTTTTGTTAGTATCCCATCATTGACACATTAGCATGAGCAACTAAATTTGAACGAAATTTAATGGGGATATATGTCGGTACTAATCGGTATTCGTAGGTAGAATGTCAATTAACAAATTCTTCCAGGATTTATTACTATCTGTGGGGTTATTATTTAATAAAGAAAAGAGAATGATAAAATTGCACTATGTATTGTAGATTATAGCAGTATCATTAATATTATATTAACAGCGACATTACATGTTCATGTAACTGTAAATACAATATAGAATAAACGTTAAATATGAAGCAGTGTGGTGGACACTTACTTGGCCTAAAACCCTCGCGAATAGAAAGCAGGTCCGTGTCCAGCTGTAGTATATAGGTTGTAAATTTAACGTTCTTTTAAATCAATTTCATCAGTGACTAACTCAATACGATCTATTACGAGTAATATTTACAAAATTCCAAAACTCTTTGTATAGCAAATAACAGTAGAAATGTAAGGTGTAAAGGGTTTAGTTTGCTAACACACTAACATGCCTGCTTTGCTGACTTTACTTTTAACAAATTTATTATTATCAATAGGTCCAAAGTATTTTGTTACTTCTCGCTCGCATATATTACAAGATTTTATGCAAGTACTAGTTATTTGGATTATCAATTTGATGTATAAATGTCAATAAGCAACTGAACAATGATTCATCCTCATGTGTTTATATAAAGTTTAGTTAAAATTATTTTGTAAACAACAAACAAAAAACCTATTTTTGGAAATTAAACAACTACTTTCGTAATGATTTATTATTATTGATAACCGTCGAATCATCTTTATTGACTTTATAACTATTAAACGAAAAATTAGTTTACAATTTATTAAGGCTGGTGTATATCGATATATATTTATATATATGTGCATGTAGTCGTTTTAATTAATTAAACAAACAGTTCCAGATCTTAGTGCAGTGTTCTAGAAACTAGAACTAGATCATGGTTAAATTGTAGATAGCGAGTGTAAACTGGGAAATTTTATGTACTGAAGCTTGACGATATTGCATTAAATAATTATTAATATGAGACAAATAACGTTGCAGACGGACGGCCCAACGAGAATTACAACGCTACCAACCTACCCTTCGGGGACTTCTCATATCTGACGGAAATGATGTATAATCCATTGGCGTATTCCTATGGCGTGACCAGCGTGGATCCAGACCGCAATGTCGACGCAGACCAGAGCGTGACCACAGAAACATCTCACGACAGGACCATCGACGTGTCGGACTCCTCGTCCGACGATGAAGACAGTTCCCGAGTGGAGCCGGAGGAAAACGTGCCGCCCGTTGCCATGGAGACACAGATTATGACCGTCGGTGACTGCCAGATTGTCAAATTGCCCCCAAACACTGAGGAGAAAGAGGACAAGACGGATCAAGTGCAGCCAGAAGCGAATGTCGTGCCCTCATCCACGCCGAGTTCAGTCACAATCACTCCCATAACCACAGTGGGCGATTGTACTATACGACCGGTGGAGAACACATAATATGTACCCATACTTTTGATCTACCCCATCATTACGCCGACGGAATAAGAACAGAATGGAAATCGTACGAACTTCAATGAGTAACTAAAAACTCGGTAAATTTTTTCTGCCAAAAAATATGTTCGCATATTTCATATATACTTAAAGAAAACGAAAGTTAGTTTTATAATTCTATAAAAATATAAATATATCTTTTTTAATGTGAAATAAAACTGCCATATGTGAAATATTTTTGTGTAAAATATTTTATAATTTTCTCTTCCGAAATAATATAGAAGTTCGTACTTGATAGGAATGTGAAATATTTACTGTATTTGTGACTCATTCATATTTGAATGTATTGAAAAGACTAAAAGAATCATAGGTCTTCCTGCAATCGGTTTCGGCGGAGTGGAAGCGAGAGTCCATATGGGGTAGATCATAAGGTTACTGAGGTGACATTTGCTTTGAAAATTGAGCGTGTGACACACGCAAAGTCTCCAATCATTCATTCGTTAGTTCATTCATCCACAGCCTAATAAAAGGCACTTAGACTTAGTAGGCTGAAATGCGCCCGATTCTCTTATGATAATATTATGTATAGATGCGTGTTTCAATAATTTGCCAGGAATAGAATTGCGATATAATGTGTCGCATTATCTTGTTTGGTAAATCAATTCGAAACTCTGAATGTTTAAGAATGGTAATATGTGCATTGTATAAGCGAATAAAAAGTTTAACACTAATTTTCGCGTAACTCACACGTGTTCACTTTAATATTAGGATGTATTTGCCTTGGTCGTTATGCGTAGGAAATGTGTTTGTAAGTCTTCCCATAAACAACAAAACACGGAGATATTGTTACGGTTAAATCTAAATCGGAACGCAAATGCTACCAGGAAGTTTACGCGAGATAAAAATGTAGTCGCAGTTAAACTGGCTGTTGCATTTAGATTGGGAGTGAGAAAATAAATGTTTATTTTACCGGAGAAATTACTGTAAAATTAAGCTTTACTCATCAGAACAAATATGGCATCAGCACCGAAACTTGTCGCGGAGATATCTTATTGATTGATAAATCTAATATAATATAGCCATAATGATAAAACATATTTAGTTTTAGGATACTTTTACGTGTGTACTATGGGATATAACTATATATATTATATTATATTATAATATGATGCCATATTTTTCTAATGTTAGAATAACAGTGATACTCATTCACACAACAGGAACCGAAAAAAGAAATAATCACGTAATCATAAACGGTCTGTATGGATTTTTTAATACATTAGTAAAGAAGTCCGGGTTTAATAACAGAAACACCTATCAATAAATAAAGGAAACATAAACTCTCTCACGCCCGTTACCCACGGGGGTAGGCAGAGACTACGGACTTCCATTTGTTCCTGACACACCTCTCGCTTCTTTCACAAGATTTTTATACGCATACATGCGCGTTGGTTTAGGGTACACTTAAGTTAGACCATCTTTCAGTGTGTCCAATTAAATAAAAAAGATAACGTTTTAATAAAATTTGGCATTTTCTCTCGCCATTAATATATTTATAAAAATCCAAGAATTGAGATGCCGTATTATTTGTTAGTTAGTATTTGTTTTACAACACCTTTAAAGATGATCCTCGTCGTCGGTCTGGGTATTTTATATCATCTTTTTAAATACTAGCAATGCTATTAACGTTACTAATATTCCCATTAACTACTCCTGGTTATTTTAAAAACCATATTTTAGGAGTAGTTCACGACAGTAATCGAATTTCGAATGCTAACCTACGACCTTTGGAGCTCGCGGTCCGCATCCTGCCATTAGGCTACTGTCTCTTCTGATCTTCAAGATCAGACATATACAAGACGGCAGCTATGGGATGCCGTGTGATTTCCTTCTGGCTTTTGTCATTCAGAGGACGACCTGGGTTGATGGATGTTCTTCCGCATCTACACGATAGATAAATAATTGTGTGATAGACTTAAAACTGACGTCTCTTGCGTTAATTTTTAATATTCTAAATGCAGTGAACAATTAATAAAACTTTATAGCTTTACATTGATTGAAAAAGTGGAATATCAAAAATATTTATCAAACAAATTGGTTTTTTTTATTAAACTAAATTTTCATGCAGACCATTTTGATTGCAGATTAAGTAAATTTATATAGCATTGTAATATTTTGAGATATTCTACATAGAGGTAGCATATTTACTAATTATCTTTATAATGGACATAAGAGATCAGTGTTTGTATAGGATTGTGTACTTTTGCCTTTAGTGTTTCTATGCATTTTGATTTTGACATAAGCCTGGTCGCCGCGTCTATTTGTCTGGATCTGATTTTTGTAATAAAGTGTTTTATGTCGCATCCCACGAAAACATTGAAATTATTACAACAAAACACTCGATAATAATGAGTTATGGATTGACTGTAAACTAGCGCCTACCGGACGTGTTTATAGTAATTTAATCACTTTTAAATTGGAATGAAATAAAAAAATATCATAAATTGTATAGTGTAAGCACACGCTATTTCGCCTTTCCATGTCTTAATAATATGTATCAATCTCTGTGAATACTAGATCGTAGGATGTAGTGTCTTAGATAAAACGTTTATATTCTAAATTATAAAAGTAAACTCGGCAACACCACACGAACAAGTGATACGATATAAGCTACTTATTTTTAGCAGAACATTATTGTATGGAACGTAATATTGTGACATATATTTCTTTAATCGATTTTGCCTGTAAAAGTAATGGTTAATGTGTCTTAGTTATATGTGTAATGTAATACGCAATATTATAATGTAACCCCGCGAGGTCTGACAGCTATGTAGCCAATTAATCGGCTGTGAGACAGCCTTTATTGGACTCGATTTTATCTCCAATAGAAACTAACGTTCGGTTTCTTTCGTTTCCCCTTTTAATTGGATCGCATATTGCACGCTTGAATTCGGTCGGAGAATGTAATTTTTCTTATTATAATGTCGATGTCTTGAAAGTATTAAATCGCTACTATGAAACCTCTTTTTGAAAAAAAAAATATTTTCTTTATAATCTGTACAGTAGTATAGTTCCTAAAAATGTAATCGATGCAAAATTATAACCCTTGAAATACTAGAGTAGCGGAGACGTAATTTAATTTCATTTTAATAATTTAGATTTAAGTTTTATATTCGATCAATTTAAAGTAATTTTAGTGCTTCACTATTAGTGATATGTCACATCGTATAATGTAAGAGTAATTTTGTTTAACTGGTATAATATGTTAACGTATTTAATGGAAGACTGCTCGAAACCGTTTGTCTAATAAAATTAATTTTGCCCCGGTTTTACAAAGGGCCGGTGTTTAATTAATCATTTTATATCAACTCTAAGAGCCCCGAAGAGGCATTGGATTGTGGTGAGTCTCAGATGGCAAGCTAAGCTTATTGAGAGTTAATTTAAAAACAAAGGAATCTGTATTTTTATAATAAAACTAAGATAAGTTAATGACTTCACGAGAATCAGTTACTCCCCGTATAACGTAATCTTGTATCCCACATATAGTAGTGTTAAAATGTGTAAACTCATAAGTTATATTTTACAAAGGCCCTATTGGCTCTGTGTTGACGTTAAGTTTAAGTGGATTTAATTTCGGACTTGTATTTCACGGGTCAACATCCGATTGATCGATTGAATGCGCCAATCTATCAACTTCACCTCGACCGAGTGCTACTTCTTGGTAGCAGATGTATTTTGCCCCCTTTTTTTTAGAACTGAACACGAAATATTTGTCTTTGATAATTGTTATTTTCATTCTAATTTTGTGCGAAAAGTTAGAAATTTATATGTATGTACGTATTTTTGTTTCTTTTTTAATTAATTAAGTACTTACCCTATAAACTATGGTCCAACTGATAGAAAGGAGTTTTTTTTACAAATTAATTAAAATACAAGTCCAACATTGTTCATTTGCATATTATACCTTAACAAACTCTTTCATCATCGTCCCTCAACAGTCCAAGGCTGGATTTGAGCAATTTTTGGGAGGATTTAACCTTATCGTTACGCTTGGCAGACATTGCACACATTGAAAATACCGGCTGTACCGTCTCCAGAGAGTAAGCGGTCATGTACTTTGGTTTTCCATAGTTGCTCACAGAACGAAATGGGCTTATTAAAATTCCAGATTTTTATGACCCATACATTTTAAACATCTTTATCCTTTATAAAATAAACTCTGTACCTACCAACTGTACCGATGCTATTGATGTTGACTCGTGAACTTTTTGGCAATAAAACGAGGGAATAATGATTATTTATGGAATGTTAGACGAGTGATCGCCGGTTGATGATTGCATTTATTTTAAGTGTTTATTTTGTAAATCTCTTTCATTGCAATGGTACAACTATAGAAACTTCAATGAATTTTTAGTGCACTGTGTTAGTGTACTTTAGTGCTAACTATAGCAATTTAGATTGGGTTTAAAGTTTTCACAGGGGGTAGCGGTCATTCATCAATCTTGTGTTGTACCATTGTGATTTGTGCCTCCGTAAAACAATGTATATCACGAACTTTGAATGAACTTAACATACATATATATTAAGATTAACATCTCATTGCTAAGTATTTGCATATATTTTGTGAACAATGTTCAGTTTCATGCTCTGCTATTAGCGCCGCAAATTATAACCGTATTGATTTTTTTACAGATAAAAAGAACGTTAATACGGATTCTACTACTGCCCATTGTTCATAAATATTTTCAAAGCCTAAGATACTTTTTATATTAGTTTTAAATCAATTTGGCTAGATCGAACATTTTATTTTATAGAGGAGTTGGAGCTGTCTAGATATATTGTGTTTATCTGTCTAAACGGTTGGCTGCGAAATTATTTTTAGTCGTAATCAATTCTTTTATATTCCTTTATTTGTGAAATGTTAATCATTTTACGTTGTGATCATGTGAGTGCAAAATTTGTTTATTTTAACCAGTTTTGTTGACATTTTGTCAATATTAAGGGCA